TTCCCCTCTTGAATGTGAGAACAAGACTATCATCATCACTTCAAGTTTTCCTGAAATTTACAATCATTGAGTGTACAGGCACTCTTCATGCACATGAGCATTCTGCATAAGTGGCAGTAACATGGTCTGGCATAGTGTTCCCTACTATCTACTTTATATAAGAAAGGAGGATGAACAGGAAACATAATATTGAATAAAGTCTCCAACTGCCTTCTGTCAGCTTCATTTTAGAAGCAGCTTTCAAACTCCTCTGTGGATGATAGTATTTAAATAGGTAGTTAGCCATGAGGAAGAGTTTTTGGGTTCCTGTTATATTGTTTTTTTCCTAAGCATAATTAAATAAGGACTATCTCTATATTCTATTCTCCCAAGCTAAGCAGCAGTGTTTTATTTACTTAATGAAAGATGAAATCTACTTATGTTGACCAGATTGCTGCTTTTCTTTTAATACCATGCCTGCTCCTAACCTCGTTTTATTTGGAGAGTATCCCATAATTAATTTCACTTTATAGATTCAGAGGAGGACATGGAAAGATCTGAGGTGCATCACTGGTGGGTGGGAGGAGTTTGCAGCATGCCCAGTGATGCTCCTTCCTCAGTTTTTCACCTATGATTTTTTATTTCCAGTTGCCATTTCTGTGAAGCTGTCAGTGCTGCTTGGTTTTAGGTGGCACTGCTTTGAGAAAGGGGGATTTGGGAGCCACTGGCTCGGGAGCAGTCCTGATGTCATTTGCAGGAATTTGTTTTTCTCCCTGCAAATCCTTTCTGCTGAGTGTTTTGTTGTCAGGGAAGGGTAAGATTTCCAGTAAAGTTGCAGCTCTTTTTCTGAGAAGAGGTGAAATGAGCTGTCCAGTGCCTTTAGCAGCTCTGCACTGCAACTTTAATGGGACTTTAGGTGACTGTCATTGAGATGTTGGCTGTGCCATCAGGAGGTTTGTCACTTGTTTCCCTGTAAGCCATCCTGACAGATGACGTGAGATGAGACCGTGCAGACACATCATCAGCATTGCCAATGAGCTGACCTTCTCCTCCCCATCCTTTTCATTTCTATTTGAATAATTTGCATCCCTGTATCGATGCTCAGTTGTCTGAGGAGCTGTCACAAAGGCTTGGGCTGCTTTCGTGACAAAACCCAGTCGTTTCAAAACATGGTTGTTTCATTATTCATGAAAACTGTTGTTGCTTTATTCTTTCCTCCTGCCTAGACAAGTTTGGCCAGAGAGAAACAAAACCTGTTTTGCATTTGCAGGAATGGGTATTTATTATTTTTTTTTTTTTGCATAATGCAGTGTTTTTATACAAATATCTCATCACTTATTGAAAACTCATCTAGTAAGAAATTTGGATAGCTCTCCATGAGGCAAAGTTAAAATGGAATTCTAGTCCCTTTTCCTGTAACAAGTTTATTTCTGAACTTTTGAGTTGTAAGATCTTCTCTGTTTTCCCTGATATGTAATTACTGTGAAGGGCAAGGAACAGGTGCCCTTGCACAATGTGAGCTGTCATTATCCTGGCTGTTTGCAACAAATTGAATGCCTGTTTCAGACTGAATTGTCTATTTTTACCCTTTTCTTTATAGATCCATAGATTCTTGTGTATCACAATAGGCAAGGACAAATTTGGGGAGAGGTGCAGAGAACTCTTGACAGGAAACAAGTCGCAAAGTAACTGCAGAAGACAGCAGAGAATTATTTCTTTGGCTAAAACACATTTCAGTCTCATTTTTCTGACGCTCAGCCCAGTGACAAAGTTGGTGATGTTCAAAAATCTGCCTTTCATTGCCCTCCCCTTCCTCAGGGTGAGGTCCATGTGATATCTAGAGATCACTTAAAAGTTGAAAAAGATCCTTTTTTCAGCTGGTGGTTGTAAATCTTTGTCCTGCTTATCCATTTTCTCATTCCATCAGCTGGCTCTGGGAATTGTTTGTCCACTTGTTAACACTTCCCTGGTGAAATGCATCTCTTGAGATGGGAGAAATCTTTGTATTTAAAAAGAAAGTGAAGAAGCTGAGTTTGAGTAGGGGTACATTTTTCAGGATGAATGACTGATTTAGGTTATGGTATTTATATTTTGTTTTGATTCTTGTGCAAAGCTTTCCCATGTACTACATGTTCCATAGGCTGAGGAAAAAATACTGAAGCAACATTACAGATAAAAAATGCAGAAACAAAACTTAAAATGAATATTTTTAGCACAAGAGGAAGCAGAATACACATGAGAAAAGGCAGATACCTTTAAGAAAAAGAGCAAGGATTTTATTCTGTTGTGCTTTGCTTTGAGAGGAATTATAGTCTTGAAACATTTTATTTTATCTCTCTTTATTGCTTTCATATATCCTACCTAGGGCTGTGTTCATAGTACTGTTTTGTGGGATATTTTTCTCTCTGTAATTCTCTTTTACTTAGACTCTTCACTTTCTAGCTGGCAAGTGTGTCACTGGGGGTGTTTTTGTAGCTTCTCATGTGACATGAGGTGCTACTGTGCTAAATACAGTATAAACATTATAAATAAAAACATAGTTAGAAGATTTGAAAACTTAGTAGAATCTCTGAGTACTGAGAGCCCTGTTCACTAAAGTTTTCCACAACTCAGAGCTTAATAAAAGTTACTTCCAGCAGAAATGCACATTGGAGAGTTAAGAGCAGTCTAGGCTGTGTTCCTAAAGCTGATGTGGATTTATTGGAGGCTATTGGGGTACAGAGTGCTTACATGCATATTTAATTTCCAGACAAAAATTACTATACTGACCATAATGCCAGCAATGATCCTTCAACAGAGGAATGCAATCTGAATGCTGCAGTTGCATATTAAATACTGTTAGGCAGGAATATATTTCTCAGATAGCAATCACTTAGAAAAGATTAACATTAATTACATGGGAGCTGTTTTCCTGATCCCTTCAGAGATGGATTCTAAATACTCCTGACTGCCCAGAAGCAAAGGCAATTTGTTAAAATATGGCCATAGGAAACTATTTCTGTGAGAATATCAGCATTATTGTGTATATCATAGAAATCAAGTACTGGGTTTGCATCTGCTCATGTGCCACAGAGGGGTGGAGTGGTCTCGGAAACAAAGACTGAAATTCAAAATATTCCAGTTCTGTTGTCCCCGTGCATTGCCTGTGCAAAATCCAGGAAATCCATCCTGCCACTGCAGAATCAAATCATACTTCACTGCCAGTAAGAATTGATGTTGTTAGTCATAGTTTCAGGCCTGGTAATTTTTTTTTTCAGAATCCACTCTTCAGATTGTATCTGGGTGTTTCTCATTATGGTCTTTATTTCTGGCTTGATTCTGGCAGTTACTGTGATCCACTTTTATAACTCATCTTTAGCTTTTGAATATGCCCAGCACTTGATGGGTTCTGCATGTAAATGAAGAACTTCTAATGATCTCTTGCTGCATTAAAAATAGCCAAAACAAAACCCCCCTTAGAGAGGAGCAGATTAAATCCTCTGCCTTTGGGATGTGAGTATCAGCAAAGGTGCAGGCTGCACAAGTGGGAGCTTATAGAAACCTTTGCCTGAGTGCTGTATTTGAACTTTTTCTGTCATAACATCATGGAATGCTTTGGGTTGGAAGGGACCTTAAAGGACATTTAGTTCCACCCCTCTTCCATGGGCATGGACACCTTCCAGTAGAATGGTGAAGGGGAAACTTCAGAAGCTTCTCCTGAGATGTGAGTTTTTGCTCAGTGTTGATAAAGCTTGTTTGAATTCACCTTCCCACTGCAAACTTCACGAGCTCTAGATAGTTCCTTGTAATTGCCATCTATTTTCACCCACTTTCTTTTGGGGTCAAGATTCTTTTGAATTAATGAGAATTATAGAAAATATTTTCTGGTCTGGGGAGATTTCAAAGCTCTTTCTTGTTGACATTTGTTGCTGGTGTTTTCCTTTTGGCAATATTTATGGAATATGTTTCCCTCTTTTATGGAGAAATAGATAAAAGGATAATAGTAATGCTGTGTTTTGTGAAATGCCCTTCCCAGCTTCTCAGTTTGCAGTTGCATTTCATCCTGAATGGTTTTCAAAGCTGTTGCTTGGTCTCCTTAAGTGCAAAGTCATCTCAAGAGCAATATATTTTAATTCTTCCCTAATTATTTTTCTATTTCAGACAATTCAGGAAATTAAAGCTGTTTTGGCAGCACAGTATATTAGATCTTCCATAACCGCATTTCATGTGATGTGAGCTGGTCTAAATTCCCTTTTCTATTAGATTAGTGATTCTAATTTAACATATCAGTATTTAGTATGCATTATAGTGTACTATATTTAATTTGATTACCTTTTCTGCCTTACCGTACATTTAATAAAGCAATTATTTAACCATTTGCTACCAATGAATTTTACTGTGATATTGAAATTAATATGGTCTGTAATTCATGAAGATGCACAAGGCAGGAGAGAAGTGTCCCAGGGCCACATTAAGGCCCTGCTTCTGTGGTTATTTTGTCTTTCCTTTCGGAGTTTCTGCCAGGAAAAGTGAGGAAGTTGCCTTGTGAAACCAATGGGCTCTCCAATGTGTTACAGTTCACTTCAGGAGACACTTTCATATATAATATTCTGCTTCCCTTTTGTATGGGTTGGTATTAAAAAAACAACTTTAAATAGAATATTCTTCAGCTTTTGGCCCAGTCTTGTTGTTTTTCCAGCAAGTCTTGAGCACCTACCAAGAGTGGGGGCAGGTGAACCTCTGCAGAACCACAGTGAGGTCATCTGCTTGCAACTGCAAAATAAATGTCTTGTGCACCTCTCACAAAGTCATTAAGATGTTGATTGATGATTTGTAAAACATTTTTACCATCAACAGGCTTACAGTTCTGTTTTCAGTAGCATAAACTATATGATTTTTATGTCATTAAGTACAGACTGGCTGCCACTGGAACCAATATATTGATATTGTAGTGCCTGTGTTCAGTGCTCTGCAGTTTCTGCAGAACTAATATCAGCAAGAATGATGTTGTTGGCTTTTTTCTTTCTTTGCCTTTGCTGCAGCATGGCTATCCAAGTGGACAAGTTCAATTTTGAGAGCTTCCCAGAATCCCCAACTGATGGAGCACAGTCGGCGAATGCAAAGCAGCTGGAAGAAGAAAGGCAACAAGCAAGAGGCCTGGAGATTAACAGCAAGCTGGATATTTGCTGGAAAATTATATCCTTTCATAAATACTTGCTTTAAAAGTATATAAATAGATGCCCTCTGATACATTTTATATTATAATTCAACTCACTTCGTGGCAGTGTTACTGAAAAGAAAAGTAATTAGAACTGTGAAGCTTATCATAATTATAGACTGTTTAAGGTTAATTGTGCTGTATATTATTTAGGCAATGCTTGGGTCATCCTGTAATGGCTTTTTCTGAGTCACTGGGCATGTCATAAATCCTGTGTGTTTTTCCCAGCTTTTAGGGAACTGAAGAAGTGTAGTTAGGATTGCTGAGTAGTAGATTCATGGGGTCAAATTTTTCTATTCTCCCCCACATCGAGTAACTGAATCATGAAGAAATTAATGAAGCTGGATTTAGAGAGTTTGCATATATTTAATTAAATTTGGGTAAATTAGAACATATTAGAATAATTTATTCCCAAGTCCTCTCTATAGATTTAGTAATGTATCTAATCTTAGGTAGCTTTTTAAGGCTTAGACAGGACTTGTGTGATGACTTAGTCATTCTAAGCATAAAATCCCCACAATAATTCTAAAAGCAGTAAAATATTGCCTTATGATTATTAATAAGAAATAGCATTCAGTTTAGAGTTAAAATAAACCAATGGTGTTGCTATAAATTTCGTGATTTCTATAAAAAAATCTTGTGCTTGGCTTGTCAAAAATACACTTTCTCATGATTTTCTTCAGGAAACATTCTGTACAGTAAACAGTCCCCCAAGCCATGTGATGGTACTCAGCACTTCCCTGGAGATTTATATTTTTCCCTCAGATCATCCTCGAATTCACATGATAGGGGGTGGCAGAAGATGAGAGAAGAATGGCAATCAAATCATGCTTGATCTGTTTGTAATTTTAATTATACTTTAATCCAGTGATCTGAAATGATGTTTCATTACTAATCATTGTGAGGAAGAGCTTCTGTACTGTGAGGGTGGCTGAGCACTGGCACAGGTTGCCCAGAGAGATTCTGGATTCTCCTTCCCTGGAGATTTTCAAGCCCTGTGCTCTGGGGACCCTGCTTGAACAGGGGGTGGACAAGGTGACCTCCAGTGGTTCCTTCCAACCTTAACCATCCTGTGATGATTAAATCAGATCAGGATTTGTCAAAGGCAAGGTTTGAGACATAAATGAGATTCCTAATGCCTGGTTCAGTCCAGACTCCCCAAGCAGCATTTCAGAGAGCTCCTTTTATGCAAAAAATGTCAATATTTAACCAGAACTCACTTAGAAAATGTCTGTGTTATGGGAAGATGTAAATATTCTGTGATAGCACAGATGAATTCTTACACTGGAATTGAGTCCACAGTGGTAATCATTTTGTCAAGGTGTAAAAATTCATGCTCACTCATTCCAGTTGCTGGGCAATACTGTTTACATCCATTCTGTGCTCTGGATTTAACCCCAGTTTTGATCCCAGTTTTGGTCAGTACCTTAGACACCAGTGTGGCTTCTGTGTGTTAAATTCAGTGCAACCATTAGTTTCTGTATTTTTAATACTTGTTATGATTTTTCTATCTGTTCCAGGAACTAAAACTCATCTAATTAATGAAAGGCAACAAGTTTCACATGTGCTTGAAAATCCTTGAAGAAATGTGTATATTCTTTTCCAGGTGTCGTGTCCCAGCTAGAGTTAGTCTTTCCCATGGCATTGTTGAATCATTAATGTTGGAAAAGACCTCAAAATACTTCCAAAATCATCAAGTCCAAACTTGAACCAAATACCACCAACTAAACCACAGCACTGAGTGCCACCACACTGAGTCCTTTCTTGAGCACCTCCAGGGATGGTGACCCCACCACCTCCTTGGGCCGTCCCTCCAGTGCTTGACAACCCTTTCCATAAAGAAATTCTTCCTTATGTTCTACCTGAACATCTCTGGCTTCATCCTTTTATTTCTTGCAGCAATATTTAGATGTGAACCAGTCAATAAAAAAAATATTCTACTCTCCATTCTGCTAAGTGTAAGAAACTTGGTTTCTGAGATATTTTTCTCCCATCAGAGTAATTGGACACAGGTCAGGAGAGTTTATACTGATGGACAGACTGGCAGAGAAATGGATGGATAATTCAGCTGCATTAGCTTTGCCTTCCTTCAGGAGTCAACCTCAGTGCGGTCAAGAGAGGAAAAGTATTTGCAAAATGACAAAGGGGCAGAATTACTGATATTTCCTACTGGAGGAGGCATTTTTTCAGGTCTCTTGAATGGTAAAGCCAAGTGATCCCTTTGTTATCCATCGTCTCTGAACTACTTAGAGCTCCCCAGATAACTTTTCTGATCAGATAACAACTGCTCAGATAACTCAGAGCTCCCCAGATAACTTTTCTGTCCTGACTGTGTGCATGGCATGGGAAGGGGCTGGGCTGAGGTGAGTTAATGTCACAGAATCTGCCCTGAGGTGTGACCCAGGGCCCATGGCAGATGCTCATACCAGGACTTGCAAAAGCATCTGGAGGAGAAATTAGAGTGTGCACAGGGAATTATTAGGAAAGGAGGGATGAGACAATTGAAAGCTTTTGGACCAAGGACAGAGTTGTCCAACAGAGTGAGGTGGTGTGTATTTATTACAGACCACCCAAACAAGAGGCAAAGCTGGATGAGCTTTTCTTTAAGGACTGGAAGAAGTCTTCTAGTTGTAGGTGAACTTATTTCTGAAATACTTTCAGGGCAGTTTTTGTGTACAGGTGTTGGATGGTTTCATTTGGTAGGTGCTGTGGGGATATGCTCCCAGAACAAATGATCCAGCTGGAGTGTTTGAAGTCTGGCTGCATCTGTCCTGAGAGGATGGAGCTCAATATCCTGATGGATGTGAGGAAGGCACATGGCAGGATAATGACTCTGGAATTGAGCAGAGGAGAATTTGGGGAAGGCAGGGTTGGAATGGATGCTGGATCTGTTCCCAGTGAAATTTCCAGGAGCAGCCTCCTCAAAGCCTGGGAGTTTCAGCAATCAACAAAGTTCACCTGACCCTTGGAGCAAGGTGTGTCATGAGGAGACTGCTAAATTCCAGTTAGGTAGTAGGAAAATTCCTTTTCACAATAAGGGTGCTCAGATACTGGAACAGGTTGTCCAAAAGTGCTGTAAATTGCTGTCTTTGAAGATGTTAAAAAATTCTGGACAATGCATTGAACAGCCTGGTGCAATTTCAGTATTTTCCATGCTTTGAGCACAGGGCTGGACAGTGACTGGAATTGCCTTTCAATATAAATTATTCTGTGATTTGTGCAGCTGGGCAGAGGGCTGGGTCAGAGAATGACTTCTGAAAAGTAAACTCTTTCCTTCATCCATCTTCTGCTCTCCCCAGGTCTGATTGCAGCCAGAGAAATTTTCTAATGTACTGTGAAGGAATTGCTATTTCAGTGAAATGAGACTATAACATTTTGGGGTCATTTTCTTGAAAATATTCTAAACCTGGCCCTAACAGCCTTTCAAAAAGTGAGACAGACTTCCAGTGCCACCTTAAAAATCATGTTTCATATTTAACTTTTGTAATAGTTAGACTTTTTTTTTCTTACTTCAGCCTTAATATCTGTGATGTATAGGAAGTCTGTCCTATTTGCAATGTTCCCTTACATTTTTGGAATTGTATTTTGTGCCCCTTCCTCAGTTTGTTTCCCATATTTAAACCTAATTGCCAAAATTTCTTTCAAAGCACATTTTCTATGTGGGATCCAAAGCTGGAGGCAATACTGCAGGTGAGATTTCTCACAGAATAAAATTGGACCTTCCAGGTTTCAGAGGTGATGTTTTCTCTGAGAACTATTCTTTAATTCTATTGTCTGACTGATTTTTTTTTTGCATGTAGTCCAGCATAACTGAATTATTATTCCCAACTTTCATTTATAGATTTGTTGATTTCTTCTAGAGTGATACTTGGAACTTTTTGTCATTTCATCTCAATGATTTCATAAATTCCACTCATTTATTAGGTTTGTGAACACTGCCATCTTTTCCAAATACATGAAAATTATGAATGTTTTTGTATTTCATCATGGAAGCAGCCAATCAGGATTTTGAAATTATTATCTATCAGACAGAACCTTGAGTCATCTCATTTGCTTCACAGCAAATTACTGATAACTCTTATTGAAAATCACTTTTCTCTGTCAATTCCACTTTTCATGACTTTATCTTGATCATAAATATGAATCATCAGCTATGACAGTATTACATCTTGTGGAACTTCTGTGCATCGGTAAAGGTTTCTTTAAATTTCTATGCTGCTTCTTATTGTTTGCAAAAATAACTATTATTTAAGACCCTAAATAACTGCTTATAATTAGTTCTAATATTAAAATTCTATAATAATAATCAAGCAGAAAGCTTAAAATATGAATAAGGCAACTTCTGTCAGTAAAATGTGCAATTCATGCAGATTTATTTTTAATTAGTATAATTCTTATTTAGGAACATTTGCTATTTTTTATGATTATGTGCATTCTCCCACCTGCATTTATTTGCAAAGGACAAATGTATCGAAAATAATTTCTTTTAGGATGAAAGATGTGGAGTGCTGCAGGGAGAAAAAGCATGAGTAACTTCCAGATAGGAGCCATTTTTTAAAACCAATTGTCTTTTTAAGCAGTAGGTTTTAGGTAACAGACTGTGTTCCAGTTGTGAGTATCCAGCTACATATGAGGCAATGCAGAGAGTGTAAAAGACCAAAGTTTTCCCTGGGGAAATAACTGCTTCATTTGAATGTCATTTAGGTTTTTGGTATGAAACAGTTTATATCATACTCAGTCTGTTGCCACAGAAACGTGAAATAAGGGTGTCAACTGTGAAAAATTAGGTTTTTAGGTTTGTTTTGGTTTGTTTTTTTTTTTAAACAGCATCTGGTGGTTGTGTGTTTGTTCGCTCTGAGGCCCCCACTGGGGCTGATTTGATTGTGCAGATGAAAATATCTTGAGCTGTTGATTATGAGCTGTTGTGCTGGAAGCTGGAAGTCACTTTTTTAATCCTGGCAGATTCCTGTGTTCTTAATAACAAAGATTTAACTTTAGGAAAGGAGGCCTGGGTCAGCAGTGTGGCTCCAAGAGAGGAGCAGTTTTATGATGGCAGTGAGACCTCAGCAAAATGTGTGGAGATTTGGTTAAGTAGATAAATTCTGCAAGGTCAGACTTCACCTTGGCAGCCTGTACTCGTGTTTATCTGGGCAGTCTTTTTCAATGAATTTTAAATCCTGGATCTTACACTTGTGCCTTTTATCAGCTTTGACTTTGAGCTAAGAATAAAAGGGTATCTTGGCAACCCCGTTCAACTCCTTTGCTTTCATTGACTTCTAAAGGCTTTGTCTTAGGCAAACTCTGGAGTTAATCTCTTCTCCCTTGTTCCTTTTATATTTTCTTATTGCATATTTTGGTTGCTTTTCATCTCCAAGGTAAGGAGTTTGTTGCAGTTTTCAGTTTTGTATTTGTCCTATAATGAGAAATTTTGTGTGATTGCCTGACAGTACAGTTAGGAGACAGATCAGTGAGATGGAATTCCATGATCCAGGTCCCTCTGTAGGTCCATGTGAACACATAATTCCTTTATGTGTTTATTCCTTCCTGTTTTAAGTCCACTTCTTTGGTTGCATCGCAACCTCACCTTTCTCTCCTTTGCCACCAGTCTCCTTTCTGCTGCTTCATTCAGTGATCTCATTAGACAAATCCAATTTATTTCATGAGTCAAATAATCTGTGCATGGCCTAACCATTTAAATGCTGCATTTTTCTTTCACATAGAATTGTGAAAGCTGAAAATTTCTCATGAATTCTACAATCCATGCCCATGTATCTAAAAAATAATATTAACAACATAACATAACGTAACATAACATAAATCAATTTTTTTGAAAAATAAACAAATAAGACTCTGAACCAGATTAATCTACAAAAATAGTCACTGAGCTATTTCTTGTCTATAGGATTCATTTTGCCACTAGATGACAATAAGCAGTGTGCTAAAAATGAGCTCGGTGCTTGTGACGGAATAAGGAAATTTATTTATCTGGAAATTTGGGCTGTGAAAGCTTAAACTACTTTTGGGTTAGTACATACTTTTTTTTCTCTGTTAATCAGTTTGTGGGTCTTTCTGGGTTTTTTTGTTGGTTTTGTTGTTTTATTGTTGTTTTTGTTGCCCGCTCTTCTTTTTTTGTTTGTTTGGGGTTTGTTTTTTGGGGTTTTTAAAAGCTTTTTTTAGCTTTTGCAAAGAGCCATTCAGTTTGATTTCTAACTTCTTTTCTGAAATGTGTGACCAGAAAACTTCCAATAGTATCGGAGAATGGTTCAGGCTGGAAGGGACCACAGTGGGGTCACTTGGTGCCACCTCCCTGCTCCAGCAGGGCCATCCCAGAGCACAGGCACAGGATTGTGTGCAGACAGTGCTGGAATATCTCCAGTGAGGGAGACCCCACACCCTCTCTGGACAATCTGGTCACTGCACAGGGAAGAAATTATTCCTGGTGTCCAGGTGGAACTTCCTGGGATCAGTTCCTGCCCGTTCCTCTTGTCCCATTGCTGGGCACCCGAGCAGAGCCTGGTCCCTGCTCTGAGCCCTCCCTGCAGACACTGACAGGGATGAGGCCCCTTCTCAGTCATCTCGAGGCTGAACAGCCCCAGCTCCCTCAGCCTTTCCCTGCAAGAGAGATGCTCCAGTCCTTTCATTTTCTTGTCCTGCTCCAGGAGCTCCACATCTCTGCTGTCCTGAGGAGCCCTGAATGGACACAGCACTCCAGATGTGCCTCCTGTGGTTTTGTGTTCCAGGAGGAATATTCTACCTCTGAATACATGGATCTGCTTTGGTAGCATTTACCAACGATAAAGAAGGGAGAATCACCCGTTTTATTATAATTTTATAGTGTTAGTTCAGGCACTAAGCTTCCCATGAAGCTCTAAACAGTGAAAATTTGTGATATTCCAGGCACCACTGTGAGTCTGTTGTAAGTAAATTACATTAAAGTTAGTTTAATGTTACAGTTAATGGCAGGCACTCTGTTTTAAAGCATCTTTTAAATACTGCCTTTTTATTAGTGTTTTCTCTCACTTACAGTCCTTAGATTAAAGATGTGATAACAGAATTATTTATCTGTTGTATCTGTGAAGTAATTCAAATTATTCTCTACCCTCTAGTGTGTTTTATGGAAATTATTTAGTTGTGCTGGTGTTCTGAGTCTCAATTTTCAGCAGCCGCACTATTCTAAGGTGATACTCTGCTGCCTTCAGTTTTCCAAATAGATGCTTTTCTTTAATGCTGTTTACAGCTTCCAGACTCTTTGGGGTTTGTGAATTCTTTATTTGTGTCTCTTTAGGAGAAAAAAATGAGGTGCTGTTTATGACATTTTTCAGGGCATAATGAGAATATTTTAAAAAAAATAATGGCAAGAATCTTGTACTTGGTATTGATTTTCCACTTCTGTCATCTCTGAGCTCTTGAGTCTCAATCACTGTTAGATTTGTGCTTGTTCTGAGCTTTCAAGACTTTAAATCTCCTGGAGACCCTGCAAGAATATGTCCTGTGGTAGAAATTAGTTATTTGCAGTGCTTGTTAATTTTCTTTTAACTGCCACAGGTGAATCTGTATTTCAGCAGTCAGATGCTGTGTGTCCATCTCCAGGGTTTACAGAAAAGAGACTGATCACATTGAGAAGCTGTTCATAAAAGCTCAGGTATTCTTTTATTTTTTGATATATTTTTGAGGACCAGAGTTCCAGTACTTTTGGAGTAGTTGGTTGAAATCTTGATGAATCTCACCAGGAGCTTATTCCTAATTATGGTGGGACACATGCCTGGATACAAGATGGTGCTGACATCTGTGTGTGCTTCCAAGCCTTGTGAATCCAGTGCCTTTCTGCAGTCAGGGAATTAGAAAAAAGAAATCCAGCACTCTTCCTGTTACAAATAAATGTTATCTTGATTGACTCATCTCACAAAATTATTATTAATTTGTTTAAGTGGATAATGCTGGCTTTGCATGACATTGGATATTGTCTTTTATTTTATTTTAGCACTTGTGTAACCTGTTTTGAAGCCCTTTTAAAAGAGATTCTTCTGTCCACAACAGTTTATTTCAGTGTTCTGCTGTCTTTAGAGTAAGAACAATTTCCTAATTTGTTCTCTTTTCAATCTGGGCCTGTTCCTGAGCTCATGCAGGGTGGAAAGGGAAGCTTGGAGGTTCTGTGCCCATGGTTCTGGTGTGATGTTTGCCCTCAGTAATGGCACTGTCACTGTCCAACATCCCATGGAACTGGCACCAAGTCTGCAGTCAGGGCTGTCCTAGCAGACATTTGTTCTGTTTTCTGTTGCCCTGTTAAATTTTGTTCTGTTTTCTATTGCCCCATCAAATTTTAACCTCTTTGTTTTCAGATTGTTCCTGATTTATCCTTCTGAATTCTCATCCTGCACCACATACTTGAAGATTTTGCATTTTTGCAGCTCCCAGGCTTTTCTACCCTCGTGTTTTATTATGGTTCAAGTATATTTTACCTTTGCTTTAACCATCCTCAGTGGAATTAAATTTTAATTTTCAGCAGATATCAACTGCTCTACTTTTACTGTCGGTCAATTGATGGGTTAATAAACCATATTAATGAATCTGTAGATTGCAGTTTTGATTTGCAATAATAAAAGTTGTGCATATCCCATGCCCTTTTCCTCTCTGGAATAAAATTTTCCTTAATTCCACCTTACCCTTCCTTGAAGCGTGAAGGGGAGGCAAGTGTGGAGGGGGTTCTGAATCAGCTGGTCCTGGAGAATCTGCAGTTGGCTCCTCTCCAGTGGGGTGAGTGCTGACAAATTTATTGATGATCTTTTATAAAGAATCTACTGGCTTGTAATTTTCAGCAGCATGAGAATGATAATGTTTTCATTTACTGACAATCTGTGATAGCAAAGAATTTGATAGGAATTTTATTTTCCTTTACGTGTTTTAGTTAGCTGAAGATAAATGCAGAATTGATATCTGTTTTATTTTAAGTACCACTGTTGGTTGGTAGTAAACAGGAAACCTGACTGTGCACTTTTTCCTGTAATTTTCAGTTCTAGTTGTCTTGTATGAGAGGTGGCTGCTACTTAAACTTCCCCTTTTTCTTACAGTGTGTGTTTTTAAAGTAATTTCTCTGATTTTTTTTCATATGAATGGTAATGTCCTTGTGATATATTTCTTATTAAGGTCCAGACAATTGCATTACTAACTTTTGAGGTGCAGAAAATGTTTTTACTCTGGGTAGCACAGAAGAATTACTTGTCCTAATTTTCCATTTAGAATGATGTTCCCACAATGAAAAACTGAATTAATTTAATTTTGAAGAGTCATAATAATGCAACTTCTGTCTGAGGTTCTCAACAAAGCTTGTTCAGAGGCTTTGGAACATGAGATGTTTCATTCCCAACATTTCCATGTGAGTTGCAAGTTTCAGGTCAAGTCCCCAGATCATCAGCAAATTGTTGCCAAAGCTTTTGCTTTTAACACAAATTTAACTCTCTGCTCCATATTTTAATACTTTGATGACCTAGTGAGGAGCAACTTTAAGGAGCAATGATCCATCACTATTTCCTGTGTTAATTATTAAAATTGGAATGACCCCAAACTCCATTATTTGTGCACTCTTTTAATTCTTTGGTCTTTTTCAAGTGTGTTGGCCACCCTCAACTCATATGTTAAAACCTGTGAGCACTTTGTGTATAAATAAGATTAAAAATGATTTAAAGTATTTTGTTGTAACTATGTCCAATTTTAGTCATAATCAGCTACCTATGAAATTAAGCTTACCTGGCCTCAGTTCTTCAGGGGATACAAAGATTTGGCAACATTTTCAGTATGATTGATGGGATTTGGCCATGAATGCCCTGGACCAGTAAAACCAGTGAGTTTGTGTCAGTGATTTGTGTGTTCTGAGCTCAGTGGTCACTTCTGGGCTCTGCAGAGTGGCTTTGACCATCAGCAGGTTTGTAACCTGGGCTCTGTGGTGGAAAACCTTCCTTTGGCACTTCTGCATAAGCCATCAGCTTAAGGATGAAAAACGTGTTTTTCTTCTTTCCCTGTACCCTTGGTTTGTGCCTTTTAATTATCTTTATGCTAAATTCCACTGTTTTCTTAGGAAAAGAGGCTTTTTGAATCATAGAATTGTGCCTGGCATTCCTGCCTGAATAGTGATCTTTGATGCACTGGTTGAAAACCATGAACATAGCACTGGTTTACAACAAAATCTCCTGTGGGGTTGGTTATTTCTCATGCTGCTGATTAATTCACTTAAAGAGTCCCAGTTACTTGAGTTTTCAGCCAAAACTCTGTGATATTCTCTGCTTCATAGCTGCAAAATCTTTTGAAGCACAGCCTGTTGACTGATGGTGTTGTACATTTTAATTTTCTACACTGAGCAAAGCAGGGAAAGGGAGATCCTATGGGATATTGAGTCCTTGGTTTGCTACCACTTTTATATTACATCTCCTAGTGGACAGTTCAATTCTGCAGAAGTCTACTTAACTTTCTTTGTTTGATTTTTCCCAGTCCCAAACTGCTAATGAATACTATCTATTTTGTATAACACACAAAGTATGTCCATGTGGAAGCTGTAGTTTACTGCTGAGATTATTGAAAAGGACATTTTGGTTAAATGGCTGATTTTACTTAGAAACAAAAGCAAAAAATCAAAATTAAAGATGATGGAGATATTTTAGCTTCTTTTAGTTCACCATAATTTGGAATATTCAGCAGTTAAATCTTTGGTAGAGCTGTAGGCAGGTAACCCTACCTGCAGCTCCTGCACTTCCTCCAGACTCTATACCATGGCAATACAGGAGGATTTTTTCCTTAATAATGTGTGGGATGCAGGAGGAATTAAGAGATTGTTATTATTGATTGGTGGGTGGGAGTAATGAGGAGCTGTTGAAATGTTTGGACAGCCAGGGGAGGTGTGTGCCTTGTACAGGCACTTAGGAAATGTCACGCTCTCTCTTTTGGACTTAAATTCTCCTTCAGTGCCAGAATGCATTTCCTATTCCATTCTACATGGAAACATGTTAAGAGTTTAAAATAAATATTACAGTTTAAACTGTAATATTGTAGCATCAGCTGGATTTTTTTTTTCTTTTAATCATTACACTGTTTGTATTTACAACCTGGCTTTGCTTTGAGTTTAGTTTTTGTGTATGTTGACAATAACTTGTGTTTTAATATGAACTCTTTACTACTAGCCATCATTGTGACATAGCCTCTGCATAAAGTGGCTGAAAATTTGGCTCAGTTTCATGTAATAAAATTGATTCTATGATTATTCAAGGAGTTTGCTACAGTGCTGGTCACATTGAAGGGTTTACTTTATTATAAGTGCTCACAGTGAAACATGAATGAATATTTAACATGGTTTTGATTAAAAAAATGACTGGCTCTTATTCAAATTTGTAGAAGCTGTACTCCAACACTCCTTTTAAAATTGGCATATTTAATTCATATAAGAGTTAATATTACATCTCTGGAATTATGAAAGCATATTGAAATAATTTTTCATTTAAATTTGACAATCCTGTCCTTTTTTCATTAAATTGAAGGCAAAGAGTAGAATCAAAAGTCGGTGACACTGAAATTTTGGTCTGAGAGTAAGAAGTTACCTTTGAAATTTGTCATAGAGAGGGGGAAAAAGTAGTGACGAGTTTGTTTTATAATTTAATGAATGGGGAAGGGAAAAGTATTTAAAACATGAGGAATCATAAGACAAGAAAATACTTGGAAGGATGGAGTGAGAGTTTTTAATGTGTTGTTAGAATTGATTGTAAGATTTAGGAGATCTCAGTAAAATGAAGTTGTCTGTGAGGCAGGTGAGTAAATCACATGTAATTGAAAAGCATCATCTTGCTCAACACCAGCAGCTTCAATGTTCTCTAAAATTTATGACATATTTTCTTTTTACAGCTGGGCACCAAACCAAAGGCAGGCATAGATGTGGTTTTGAGGTGAATACATTAATTCCATCAAATCAAGGAAACAGAGCCTGCAGAGTGTAATGAGGAGACCCAAACCTCCTCAAAAGCCTCCCCAGTGCTGTGCTGGGGCTGGAAATGATCTGATGGACTCATCTGTGTCTGCTGCCTGGGCAGGGCTTTTTCAATCTTTACTTGATTTATGCCTCTGACTTTGCAAGGAAGCAAAATCCCAGGAGAGAAAACTTCTCAGTTTTGATGGTGCTCTGCTGATTTCCATAGCAAAATTATCTTGGGTACAAATGTGTGCACCAGATTCCATTGAACTTGAAATAGAGTTTGAACTTGAACTGAGTTTGAAATTGGCTCCTGATTGACCCTGGAGCAGGCTGGGCTTGGGATATTCCTGCATTCAGTGAGAAGTTCCTCTGAAACAAGAAGCTCCTGACACTTTGAGAGTGCTGTAAACAGTTTTCACAACAGAAACTTATCTTGAGTTCTCCTGCATAAAGTGAAATAAATTTAACTTCCTTCAATGCCTGCCAGCACCAGGTATAGGACTCTTTGCCTGATGACCCTCATGAGTATAAGAGGGAAGATTTATTGGAGAAAATTGGTTTAGGAATTTAGAACTGTAGACACTGAAAAGTGCTCGAGGTTTTAATATATCAAACAAATGCTTTTCTTTCTCCCTAGCAACTAACTGAATAACTGAGAATCAATGATCATACATGAACTCTAATATTACTAACAGCAGTGTTCCAAGAAACATGCATTTGTCAAGCTTCACCATGGAAAAAGTCCAGAAATAGATTTTGCTTCCATTCACTCTCTTATTTCATTCATTCATTTCATTTATTCTTCCCTTCTTCATTAAAAAAATGTGAATTTCAGTACAGTTTTAGTGTTTAAGTGTACTTGGATGCCTTTGCACAATGCAGTGCATTTTATTTCCTAGTATGTGATTACAGGAGAACTGAAATCACTGCTGCTGGATGCTGCTCAGGCCATAAATAAGAAAAGGGATGGGCAGTAGACAAAGTCTGGATTATTTACTTATTGGCAGAAAGTGCTGCACTCCTTGTTATGGGCCTACAATAAATTCTGTGCCTACTGCAGCATGTAAAAGTATTGTACCTACAGAAAACTAAAAAACTCAGAAGTGAAGATGGTGTTAAATTGTTCCTTAGAGGTAGCTGGAATCAATAGAAGATGTTGATTTTAAAGTCTTTTGAAATGTTTCATGAACATATGGTTCATGACAGCTTGTTTGGAAGTTCAGTCTGGTAAAGTTTCACAAAGCATCTTATGGAAGCATTACTTTAAAAATAAATTATCTTAATAATTAACTGTATGTTTTAGAGAGCACCAAATCATAATCAGTTTTCACAGCTTTATGTTTTGTGGATATTAACATTAATTACTGAAGCTGCACACCAATTTTATTTTGTAGTTTCCAGCCTGACCCTAGACAATAATTAAATCTTTCTTTCCATAATTCATGTGATTAAGGGATTTCAGCAGTGTGAGATCACTGCATCCCAAATACACAGGAAAATATTTTGTAGTGTCTACCAGTGAGTAAATGATGCACCTCTAAGCTGTGTTTTGATTGTCCCCTGGACAATCTTGTCCCCATGGGCTTAGTTAAAATGCTCCAGATCTCTGCACACAAGACCTTATTCAGAGTCTGGTTTTAGCCAGGGCAGTCCTACAATGTTGCTGCTCCATATTTGAAATTCCAAAGCTGTTTTCAAAGACTGAACTTGATGGGGAGCTGTAAGGAAGTAGTTTTGCTTTCTCTTTTAATAAACAAACCCCTCCTAGGTCCTAGGCAGGATAATTTATATTATATAGATACAG